TCTGCCAGCCTTGGAAGGAGCAGGACCTCAAACAGAAGGGGCGGGGCTCGGACGCACCAAAGCCCCCGCACCCCCAGACCCTGCCCCTAGACTCCTAGAGAGAACCACCAGCTGTTTTGAACAGCTGGCACTTCCCTCTAGGCCTGGGCCCCGGATGGCAGGAAACTTTGGGAGCTCCTCACCCCCAGGGCCTGATTGTCTCTCGCCCTCGCTCTGCAAGGCCCATGCAGCGCCTAAAGTAAACCACCAACTGTTCAAAACAGCACGTTCACACTAAGTGCAAAGTCCCTTTGTGGGAGGAGACAACTTCACTTCCTCCAACCCCCAGTATTGATTGGCCGGGGGTAGGGAGGGGTAGCGGTAGGGCAGCGTCAAGCCAGAGCAAATAACTTGGCAGCTGGATCCAGCCCACAGAAGCTCTCTTGCCCATCCCTGCTGTGAAGTCAAACCAACCTGCTTCCTGGCTAGGGCTCCCTCATCACCAGCTGAGGACTGGTACTTTAACTCCCAAACTGAGTGTTTTGTTTTATGTACAGTGTAACACTCTCTGTACAGTTGGACATGCTCCCAGGATCCATTCTAAATCCCAAGGAGCTAAAGTTTGCCCTTTATTGTACACTGAATATACACTTCTCCTCCTGCAAAGGTGCCAGCCTATTTCTTGCTGCTGTCAGAGTTCAATATTTGCAAATAGATAATACCTCTGAAAGTAGTAAGGAGTCTGGTGGCACTTCAGAGATTAACAAATTTATTGCAACACAAGCTTTTGTGAGCTACAGCTCATTTTCTCACATGCTGAAGAGAAAAATCAGAAAAGGAACGGAAATTACCTATTGTAATGTGAGAATAGACGCATGGAGTGTCTCATTAAACCTTAAAAAAACCTTAAACTTCTTCAATGAAATGGCTTGTGCCCACAAAAGCTCATGCCACTATTTATATTTTTTGTTAGTCTGTAAGGTGCTACAAGATCACTCATTTTTTAAGTTATAGACTAACACAGCTACCCATCTGAGTCATTTAAACCTTATTTCAGCATGTTCAAATTTGCAGATGAATTCCACCTCAGCAGTCTGTTCTTGGCGGTTTGTTTTTTGTTTTTGCTTGAGAATGGCAACTTTCAAGTCAGAAACTGTGTGTCCAGCTAGGATAAAGTGCTCCCCCACTGGGTTTTGTATGTTTCTATTTTGAATGTCTGATTTGTGTCCCTTTATTCTTTTGTGTAGAGATAGTCTGGTTTGTCCAATGTGGATGGCAGAGGGGCACTGTTGGCACATGATGGCATACATTACATTAGTAGATGTGCACATGAATGGGCCGTTGCTGGTATAGATGATGTGGTTAGATCCTGTGATGGTGGCAGGAGGGTAGATGTGTCCATAGAGTTGGCAACAGGGCTTGTTACAGGGCTAAATTCCTGGATTAGTGTTTCTGTTGTAGGGTGTGAAGTTGATGGAGAACTTTTTGTAAGCAAGGACTGGCTTGCCTCCCAAGGTCTGTGGGAGTGATCATCTATGATAGATTGTAGATCCCTGATGTGTAAAAGATGTTTTAGCCAGGAGCAATAGGTAGTTTTTTTGTTGCTTTCTTTGTTGGGCCTGTCCTGTAGTAGGTGACATGTGGGTATCCGCCTGATGTTATTAATGTGTCTCTTCTCTTCTCTATCGGGGTGTTTTGTAGACAATGGATAGTGTGATATGTTCCAGATGTAAGCCAGATGCATATAAATAAGTATAGTAGTCAGTAAGTTTCCGGTACAGTGTGGTATTTTTATGTGACCATCACTTATTTGCACTGTAGTGTCCAGGATGTGGATCTCCTGTGTGGACTGGTCTAGAGAGCGTAGGGAGGGAATTGTTTGTGTCCTGGGGCCTCCTTCTCATGGGTCCAGATGGTGAGGTCATCAATATAGTGTAAGTAGAAGAGGGGCATTTGAGGACAGGAGCTGAGGAAGCATTTGTCATGGCTCCTTCCCCACTCTGGCACAATAAACGCAGAAGTGGGGGCCAGCAAAAGTACCCCAAAACCTTATCTACCAGGCTTTGGTATAAAACTCCCCCCCCCCCCAAAATCTTAATAAGCTAGATTTTGGGAATAAAATCTCCACTGCCGCCACCCAAATATTAATAAAGCAACCAGAGAGAAACTACTTGGGAAATCTCACCCCTAAAGTACAAACCAGGACACAAAAATTAACCACTACCGGGTTAATAAAAAGAAGAGAGAAAACTTTTATTATCACCATAATACTCCTGTTGCAAGCATAATGTCTAGATGGAAAAGTAACAAAATAATATACTCATGGAGAAACTCCATGGACCTAGAACTTAGTTACAAAAGAAAGCCAAAACATCAGATCCCATTTCCCAAACCATAAAATAATAAAACCTAACAGATTGATCTAAACTTTACCCTACTTACAGAAAGTGAAGAATTGTTTCTTGGAGAGAGAGACATGTCTGTCTCCTTCAGTAGCTGGAGGGAACTCTCCGAGACCAAAGGAGGGAAACCCCAAAATTCTTTTGTCCAAGTTTGAAATTCCTACCTACATTCCTATTGGCCAACTCTACCTGAGTTAGGTACAGTTAACCCCTTAGTCCCCAGGCTGCTGGCTAACCCTCATGATCATGACAGCATTGTTCCAAGTCAGCCATAAAAATGTTGGGGGTGGGGTGGGGCGGGGCTATGCAGGCACCCATGGTAGTGCCTCTGACCTGAAGGTATAATTCATCCCCAAATCTGAAATAGTTATGGATGAAAACCAAGGCACAATGTTCAGTAACCAGTTGTGAAGGGACATCATTGGTGATACAGTTCCAGATGGCTTGTAATCCATCCTTCTGTGGAGTGTCATTACACACTCAATAAATTTAATGTCTTTCGATCAAAGACTATCTTGGTTTTTGAATCTGATACAGCATTTAGCACATTATTAGGAACTATTCAATAAATAACTTCAGGCCAGTCTAGACTGCATTTCTCTCTTGAAAGAGGAATGCAAATAAAGCAGATAGAAAATTCAAATGAAGTGAGAATTTGCAAGTCTCATGCTTCCTTTGCATAATCACGTGAGAGCACTTTTTCGAAAAAGGGTTTTTTGAAAAACCCCCAGCAGCTTAGACAGGGTTCTTTCAAAAAAAAAAAACAAAAACCCTTTTTCAAAAGAACTTGTATTCCTGAAAAAATGAGTATGGATTCTTTCGAAAAAGGGGTTCCCTCCCCCCCTCCGAAAGAACCACATCTAGACTGTGGTTTTTTTTTTTTGAAAAAACATTTTTTGAAAAAGCGCTCTCACGTGATTATGCAAATGAAGCATGAGATTTACAAATCCATGCTTCATTTGAATTTTCGATCAGCTTCATTTGCATTCCTCTTTCGAGAGAAGAATGCAGTCTAGACATAGTATTAGTGTCCATGTAAATGAGGGCTATTAGGCCTGAACCAGACATCATATGGGTAGATACAGTACAAGTTCTAATCTAATATGACTCAATGACAGTATAGTCCAAGTTCATTTTTACCACAGTGATAATCAGTGTCAGAGATACACTGGCAACATAACGGGGGATATATTTACAATCTTGCAGAGCAGTACAAAGGCTCTGGTCCCATGGTATTACACTGGACTCTTTCCTGCATAAAGTATTCTTGCTAGATAATACAAACACGATGGCATTACAATGGTTAAATTTAACACCCATCTTCTTCTTACTCTGGACACATGATATCACATAAGAGGTTAATATCTGCTGATAGTGAGGGGTGGTTTCAGGGAACCATGGGAGAAATCATTCCAAACACAATTCTAAACACATTCTTAACATAAAAT